TATAATGTAGTAATATAACATCTAATGTAATGGAGTCTTTAGACATGTTGGATATCTACAGACACTAGAAGCTGGTAAAAACTATGCACACTCAAGACAATTAAAATTACAAGCAGTTGAAGATGAAACAGTGAAAATGAAAATATTAGTATAAAAATTTGGCAAGTCAGAGATGTCAAAATAATATTTGTGTCAAATATGAGGCATAATGTTATATTTTTGTTTTTGTTGTTTTATTATCACTACTTTTATTATAGGGTTCTGTATGTTGTATTCATGGTTAAATGCGGCAAAATAAACAATTTCAAAGGTAACAGATCTTTGTAATACTTGGTTTATTTACATAATGACTTTAATTGCTGGATGTTCGGCCCCTCAGCTGTTGATCTGCAGTAACTGTGTTGAATAGCACTGCTTTTAATATTTTTTTTTTAAATTAGTGGTTCCCAAAGTTGACACCAGGACCTCTTCGTGCGCCAGGAAACAATAAAATCAGAATACTGGAATTTAAAATCTTGTTGTTGTTTTTTTTTCCAACAGGAAAACTCAGAAGATGACAAGAAGAGGGGACGTTCAACAGACAGTGAAGTTAGCCAGGTTAGTGTGAAGACCAGTTTTTATTAGATTAAGACTTTTAGAAGCCTGGATACAGAGTTGGTTAAATTAGATATATTTTTTTCTTTTTTTTTGTCTGTGAATTTGACAGTTTGGTGACAAATATAGCATCATTGAAACTGTGGTTTTGTGTCGATTTCATAGAAAAGTAGCAGGTTTGTCACAAATAACAGAATAAAGTTTTTACTTCATTCATAAATGTGAAAGTAGTTCTTATAGAGAGGAAATGAAGTTGTTCAGAATCAAAATCAGAGCTTCCCAAAAGTTGGAAACTTAAGTTAGAAAGAAACGGTGAGTTTAATCGTTTCTACCTTGTTCAAACGGGACAAAGACGTTGATTCTCCATTTGTGCTTCTTTTCCAGTCACCTGTAAAAAACGGGAATCCCTCCTCTTCGTTGTCTTCCTCTTCCTCGTCGTCTTCTTCCGCTTCGGGACTGACCTCATCCTCCCTGGTCTCTTTGGCCACCATGGCCGGTGGCGGCGGTGGCTGCGGGGGCAGCAGTCATCACAACAACATCTCCCACACTTCGGCCGGCAGCTACAGCAACGCCACGCAGCAGCCGCCCCACCCGTCGGTGCAGCAGCAGGCCAAACACTCGGCGGGCTCCTCGGCCCCCCTCTCCAACTCGAGCGTCTCCACCAACAGCCACAGCGCCCCCTCGGCATCCTCGCCACCGAACGTCGGCACGCAGGGGCTTCTCACTTCGAACTCCCAGCCCCCGGCGCCTTTGGGGCCCGCGTCATCCTCCAACAGCCTCGGCCTCAGTCTGGGACTCTCTCTGGGAAAAAGCATCCTGTCCAGTTCCATCCCCACCAGCCCAATGTCGGGGGGCCTCGGCCTGTCAGGGATGCCGGCGTCTCTGAGCACGATGGCCAGCCTCCTGTCCAGCTCCACCCCGACTCCTTACGCCCAAGCGGCCGCCTTAGGCACGGGCAGCTCAGGCCTGCCGGGCTCCCTCGGAGGCGTCAGTGCCTCGACCACCAGCAACGCGTTGGGGGCCATCGGCAGCGGGAGCATCACAGTCGGCGGGCCGACTTCCTCCTCGGGGGGCGTGCTGAGCGCRGCCCCGGGAGTGGGCAGCATCGGCTCCGGGATTCTGGGTTTGAGCTCTGGTCAGTCGGGGGTGCAGGGGTCTTCCCTGCTGCCGCAGAGTCCCGTGGGAAGCTTAGCTCCRGGAAGTGGGATCGGCGTGATCGGGAGCAGTGGAGGCGGCTCGGGATCGACGGGAAGCGGGATGGTGGGAGGAAACTCATCGCTGTCGGTGCGACCGCCGAGCCAACAGAAGCAGAACGGTAGCACGAGTGAGTGACTGAGGTTTAATCTGTTTTAGTGATGGAAAACAGGAAAATAATTAAACATAGTTAAAGTTCTAAACTTAGCAAAATAACCACAGCTTGATTTAAAAAGTTGATGAAACACCTGATTAAGTCATTTAGAGCAGGGGTTCTTAACATTTTTGACATCGGGGCCCAATTTCTTGAACATAAAGTGGCACGAGGCCCAGTCAGACCTTACCAATGTATGGATCAAAATGATTATTATTCTAAATCTTGGTTTAATTTTTATTGTTTTTACATCATAACTAAACTACTTTTTAAAAGTAAAACTCCTGTTAAATAATCACAAGACTTGATTATGACAAACATTTTATATGG